GGAGGGAAGATCATCAGGAGACTGATCAGGAGCCTCAGTGCCATGACTTGAGCTGACTTCAAGAGCCACCAAACCCCGGGGATGAAATTGGACACTCCAAGTGTGTTGAATACGGTTTCCTCCACAGGACACTTGTGCTTAATGAAGGCTGCTCCCGAAGGTCATTTGCATAACGCCCTCAGTGCTGCTCTCATAAATAGGGAGTGGTGGCTCAAGCTCCACCTAACATCTCTGCAGGGAATGCCTGGCAAAAGTGGGTGTTTCTGGAGATGTGTTCCTCTAACAGCAGACTTGAGAATGTCAACCAGAAAAAATCAGTCCTTATACTGCCTAGGAAATAATGTTAACTCATTCCTTTCCAGTGAGACAGGGAGCACGAGCGCCACAACCGGGATGCTCGCTCTTAGGCTGCGATGGCAGGAGAATCCATGCACGAGCCCAGATTGGCCTCTTTCCACTGGGCTTTTCTTGCCAAGGAATGGGGGCCACGTCCTCCTCTTGTTGGCTGGTCATTTTCCTAGAGGAAGCGGAGTGGTCCTTGGAGGCAAGGAATGCCCCGTACTTTTTCCGTATTAACTGTCATGGGCTTGGTAATTGAGGCGGGTTTGGTGCAGCTGTCTCAGCCATTCGAGCTGCATATGCGGACCATGGACTACTCATATTCATGGGTTGAGTGAGAAATACAGAGCCCCTGGCTTTCCTGCTCGCTGGTGTCTGTTCCTTGCTGCCTTTGTGTAAAGGACTGCTTGAATGTTCTACCTGCTCTGGTGGAGCAGGGAAAGACCTGTGATTCTAAGGAACTTGAAAAATATTGGAGACATTATGATACTTTTGTCGGTTTATATATTTCACATGACTTGTAATGTCCCTTATTTCTTCCATTTTTCTGGACTGTTACCCCTTTCCAGCAGTCCATTTCTGGTGGTCCATACTCCATTGAAGATGCCCCAAATGTTTCTACATGTCATGCTTGTGACTTGTTCAATATCATGTACAGTTGCTGGAGATGGAGTGGTGCATGTCTCATGCCTGCTATTTCCGGGAAGATGTGTTCTTATACGTCTTCAGAGGAGCATTTACTCAGTGTGTGTCTTGTACAGTAATACATGGCGGAGTCTTCAGGATTTAGGTCATGCTCTTGCAGGAACAGCTGGCCTTTGGTGGTGTCCCTCGAGATGGTGAGCTGGTTCTTCAGACCACTGTTATAGTACAGAGCACCATCATACCCAAAGACTGCAGTCCACTCAAGTCCCTTTCCCGGGGGCTGACTGACCCAGTCTATGCCAAAGCTTGAGAGTGAAAACACAGACACAGCGCAGGTCAGCTGAAGGGTCTCTTCCAGCCACTTCAGTCCACCTCCAGACTCTGATCAAAATTTGGGAAGATGCATCTGCAATCATGGAACAAGGACACAAGGACACAAAGATGAGAAAATGCAGAGGCACCTGCTGGAGTTTTCTCATACAAGGAAATCAAACCTGGAGAGCATGTGGTTATATCATAATCATCAATGTTGCTATTATTACATGGAGGGACAATCATCAGGAGACATATCAGCAGCTTCTGTGCCATGATCTGATCTTCCTTCGAGAGCCC